GGCCATTTGTACACTCCCGAATTCGCGACAAGACTGAAGAATTCTTCGCAGTGGCTCTGCATATGTCTAAGGTGATGAAAGGGTGGGAAGACCAGTCAGAGCCAAAGTTAAAGTTAACAGTTAATCTGTCTTGTCTACAAAGAAACTATTTCGATTGGTCCCCCCTCTTGACCATTTCTGGATCTTCACTGGACCGCTGACCTTGATGTCAACCTCACTGTTGACCACCAGTAACCATAAGCTAGTCATTGTTGATCATCGACCCATTAAAACCATTACGAAGATTAAAGAATTCTTACAAGGATCCCCTTACAATTTGATGCATGATCTTTTTAACATTTTGTTCCACTTTGGAAGAGTGTATCTTGTTAATTTTTTTTTATTTTAGCGTCCTCTTTTCATAGATGGTGGTCGGTTGAGAAACTATTCACTAAATTAGTGTTGATAGGCAAACAGCTGTAGTTTTGCGTAAATCCAAGTGAGTTGACTATAGAAGGGATTAAAATTCATTTCTGAATCTGTTGGTGACGTTGCGAGTGACACGAAAATGCTAATGGGGTCCCGAAACCGCAGAGAAACGGGCCAAAAAATTACATTAGGTGAAAGGTCTATTCATATACCTCGTCTGTGGTACTGTCATCTGTGGCAAAACAATCAAGTTTGTCGAGAAATAGTTCATTATCTACCACGCTAGATGGCGGGGCAATCATATTCTATGGGGCACCATACAAAAGACTGCCGCGCCATCTGTGGTAGAACGTCCAAGTTCGTCGAGAAATCGTTCGTTTCCTTAACGCTAGATAGCGAGACAATGATATTCTATGGTGCCCCATATCTCGCCATCTAGCAACGAGAAATACGAACTATTTCTCGACAATCTTAGACGTTCTGCCATAGATAGCGGGACAATCTTCTGTATGGTGCACCATAGCATATGATTGTCTCGCCATCCAGCGTCGAGGACAACAAACTATTAGTATAACGGTGCATCCTTTTTAATTTAAAAAATAAGTTTGGAACTAAGTTTATTACGTATATGTATAATCAAAAACCAAAAACCAACAAAAATTTGCGAAACATTACTTCAAACTCTTCTTACTATTTCTATATCACATCCAATTATTAAAAAAGAGTCACGATTTAATAAACGATCCAAGTACTGATTTATTTAAATCTGATGAAGAAATTATCTATACCAAATTATACGAAGAGGATCGCAGCTATTAGCTCATATTATTTGCTACGTAATTAATTATTAAATAATTATATATACAGTTAGGATTGATACAATTAATTACGTACTAAATAATAATGATTACCAGGTCTCACCACTTGGAGGTTGCTGCGAATGGAGACCCGTCCCTAACCGATAATGCTACTAGAAAGTCGTAGAAAAATCTATTGCAAACCTTTTATTGTTTACAAATTGAACAGTATCGTATTAGCACCTTAAGCAATGTCTTCATTGAGCAAATAGTTGAAGAAACGCGAACGCGTGAACGATGTCAAACTAATGAAAGACGTTTTCGAAAAAATAAACAAGATTCTCCGTACCAAATTTTCCAACACGCCTACACATCCGGAAACTTTCACTTTCATCACGATCGCCAGAATTAGGAACTTTCTCTTCAAACAACGAATATTCGACGTACCAATATGGGCGGTTCACATTACGTAAATATTACAACTAAATTCATTCGTCTGAGATAGATAACGAAAAAAAAAAATCGTATTTTACAACAAATATATAATTTTATTATATGTGTATAGCAAGTAAACGTGTCTTTATTTTATGCAGTCATCCAGCATTTATAACATTGATGTATTCCCAATACCATTGAAGAAGATCCTTCTATATTCATAATTATTACCCAATTTATATTCTGAATAATTGAAGGGGTGACGCGAACCATTACAATGATCGTAAATTTTTCATCAGAAGTTTCTCCTCTCTTATATCACTGCTAACTGTTCATAAATCACTATATCTGATCTAGACGTAATATTTACACGTCTTAGGAAGATTTTAGATATTTTTTTATTCGTACAAAAGGGACGAAGTCTTTTTCAAACCTCCGATTGTTTTCTAATTATTTCTGTATCCGAGATATTTTTTAAACTGTTTATACGCGATGATGATGCTTCTTGGTTTATGAAAAAAGCATTACTACAACCGTGCTTAATGATGCATACAAACTACCGGTAGTCCCTGGCCTATTCGTATAATCGTACTATATTTTCACTTATGATCGTACAGGATTCTCCTGCAACATTGTCCAAACTCGTATTTTACTAACAACGAAGACAGGTTCCTCGTTTATTTAATATTTTATTCCCCCAAATGTATTCCTCATCGCAGACATTTTAAATTTTATATCAACGCTCATTGAAAACATTTCGACTTTCAGACACTTCAAAATTATTTTCCATTGCTTGAATTCAATAGCAAAATACGAACAATCAAAATTAAATACAAGAGAACGATAAAAATTATAATTAAGGTTCTATTACTAGGAAATTTTATTATCTAACTAAATTCTATTATCTGCTAGCTATACCTGCGATAGTATTTCTTTTTCTGGGACTTTAGAATATTCTAACTTGGAACATATATTTTTAACACTAGATTTACTTAGATTTATTTATTGATACCTTTCATTTTGACGATTACCTTAAAATACGATTTTTCTTTTAATTAGAATATGTATTCATGCCATTGAATCAAACAAATTCAACATAAGTTGTTGAAAAATAATATTTACGTGTTCTGCAATTTTAAATATGGAATCTGACATCCGTCAAATTGACGGCTTCCGTAAATCTAGTGTTAAGATCTCTTCCTTTATCGATACGATTGGGAAATACGCTGACAAAGTTTGGGCAGTCGCTTTAGGAACACCCTATACACCAAGCAAAAGGATATACGCAATAATTTTTTGCGCAGTGTAAAAAGTCATAACTGGAATGTGATTTGAAAACGAAGGTACACTTTTCTTGAAACGTTACACATACAGCAGATAAAATTTATCCTGAAACAGTAGGAGTTTTTTACTGGTACGAGGAGCCATTTTGGAAGTGTAGGAAAACGAAAGCATAGTACGAGAAATTTATATTTTATTGCACCATGTCTTTCACCAGTCGGAAAATGAAGTTTCTAAAAAAGTAATACAAATATAGATCAATACAGATGACAGAAATTAAAAATTCTGCCAAACCAATTTGTTATCGATCTTTTATTTTCCACGCTTTCTGCCGGTGTCCTACTTTACGTACCAATGATTCACAAGCAGACCTGCTTTCTAGTTTACTCTCAAAATTGAAATCGTTATCTGTACTCGAGATACTCGAGGAAAATAGAATTCACCCTCGAGTCCATCCCTCTGCTATTATAATGAATATCGATGCAGATAAATAACGTCGACAATATGAAGGTGGGTATAATAAAATATAAACAAGAAAGTTGTACCACCGATTTCAATGCAAACTGCAGTGCCAAATTTTCACTCATTGGAGTTTCTAAAGGCGTCCTGATGCACTTTCGCAACTTTCCCATGGAACTCACTCATTCCTTATTCCAATGACCTTTAAAATAAGTGTACCAAATTTCGACCCTGACCTAGTAACCGACACTTTCAATCTTTTTCGTTGATATTATTATCAACAGTCTGGTCAAAAACTTTTGTTGTGAATTATATACTTTAAAATAAATATTAACCACCATCGTTATTATAGTCATGGCGACGCAATCAAATTACAAATAAATAATGTTTGCTTTCGTGATAGAAATTCAAGCAATTTTATTAGAATTCTGATAAGAGTTTAATTTGAAACAAATATTATTCCACGTATAAATCTAGTTTGGATATTTTTACTTTATTTTGTTTAAAATCTCAATTTTGTCAATCTTCAAATCCTATCTACGTATGCGATAAATAGAACAAAAAAAAAAATACGAAACTACTGAATTATTTATTTTAAATAATTGCTCGATGAACGGTGAAGTTTGACTATTTTCACTTTATTTAGTTCAAAATCTAAATTTTGTCAATCTTCAAATCCTATCCATGTATTCGATAAATAGAACGAAAAAAAATACGAAACTACTGAATTATTTATTTTAAATAATCGCTCGATGAACCAACAATTAAGAGAACCAACAAATAATTAATGTTTGCTTTCGCGACAGAAATTCAAGCAATTTTATTAGAATTTTGATAAGAGTTTAAATTGAAATAAACATTATTCCCCGTATAAATCAAGTTTGAATATTTTCATATTATTTTATTTAAACTCTCAATTTTGTCAACCCTCAAATCCTATCTACGTGTGTTCGATACAATAAATAGAACGAAAAAAAATACGAAACTACTGAATTATTTATTTTAAATAATCGCTCGGTGAACCAGCAATTAAGAGAAAATTAAATAAACATTTCCTTCGTTTGTCACGGCAGTTTCAAAACGTTCATCAAACCTGAAAACACTTACCTAGCATCAACATATTTTTCCCCCTAACTGGAATTCAATTTTGTTACTCGAAACCGATTGGTATCCCTCGAAAGAATATTAATTAGAAAAATGAAGTCAGAAACGTTCGGTCCGTTGCGACACGTTGCGCTTCCGTATTAGTTCGAGGGAACAAGTTTTTTTCTTCTCGATTTAAAATTCGCGTTCCCCGATAAATTACCCCGATAAATTACCATAATCGATCGAGATGACGCAAATATTTTGCATCGAAAGTGATAACTCTAAGGCGAGGTGGATAATCGACGACCTTGACACTTCGGTTTCGCATGTATCCGCGATTCCACGTGGTGTCGACGGCCGTAGGCGAAACGGCTGCCCCTCCTCGCGCGCCCTTCGTTCCCCAAATCATCTAACAGTCATCGACAGGTGAAAAAAGTGGGAGTCCGACGAAGGACAAAGCGGCGTACGAAGAATCGGCCTGCACACGATCAGTTGTCGTATCGCGCGGGTCGACAAACGTCTCGTGTCGCTGAGATGGTTTCGTCGATCACGATGTCCTGGTTGCTCCTGGCGACGTTGCTCTTCGCGATCGAGACCTCGGCGAAGAAACCGCTCGGTCCGATCCAGGAAGCCATCCAGAACGGCCTCGCGGGCCAATACGACTACGAAAAGTGCGTATGGAGACGAGGAAACGATCGTGATTCCTGCCCTGATCCCGATGTGCGCGTCTACCTTTACGCGAACAATCGTCCAAGGCGAGAACTCGACTCTAGGGAGTCGGATTGGCTGAGACAGGATTACGATCCGACCAAGGAGAACGTCCTTCTCATACACGGATACGCAGGTGCATTTAAACAATACTTGCTAAAGTTTGGGCACTCGATTTATGGAGTACAAAAACACTTGGTTCTGGTCTTTAAATTATCCTTTCAATTATTCTCTCGATTATTCATTAATATCTAATCTAATGGGACAACGATCGAGGAGACATCTTATTCACCACCTTTCTGCTTGCAAAATTGCAATAATTTTCTTTGTTCATTCGATTTTTACGATAATTCGAAGATATTTGGTCCCACTGTTGTAGGATTCTACTTTTTTTCTCTAAACTATCCTTCAGTTTCAATTTTTCTTTCAATTATTCGTTAATATTTAATCTAATGAGACTACGATCGAGGAGACATCTTAATCACCACCTTTCTGCTTACAAAATTGCTATAATTTACTTTGGCATTCTCTTTATTAAGCTTCAAGAATAATAAGATATTTGATCCCACTGTTCTAGAATTCAACTTTTTTTCTCTAAATTATCCATCAATATCAATTTTTCTTTCGATTATTCGATAATATCTAATCTAATAGAACTACGATTAAAGAGACATCTTATTCACCACCTTTTTGCTTGCAAAATTGCAATAATTTACTTTGGCATTCTCTTTATTAGATTTCTACAATAATTCAAAGATATTTAGTTTCACTGTTGTAGGATTCTACATTTTTTCTCTAAATTATCCTTCAATTTCAATTTGTCTTTCGATTATTCGATAATATCTAATCTAATAGAACTACGATTAAAGAGACATCTTATTCACCAACTTTTTGCTTGCAAAATTGCTATAATTTACTTTGGCATTCTCTTTATTAGATTTCTACAATAATTCAAAGATATTTAGTTTCACTGTTGTAGGATTCTACTTTTTTTCTCTAAATTATCCTTCAGTTTCACTTTTTCTTTCGATTATTCGTTAATATCTAATCTAATGGGACTACGAACAAAGAGACATCTTATTCACCACCTTTCTGCTTGCAAAATTGCAATAATTTTCTTTGTTCATTCGATTTTTACGATAATTCGAAGATATTTGGTCCCAATGTTGTAAGATTCTACATTTTTTCTCTAAACTATCCTTCAGTTTCAATTTTTCTTTCAATTATTCGTTAATATTTAATCTAATGAGACTACGATCGAGGAGACATCTTAATCACCACCTTTCTGCTTACAAAATTGCTATAATTTACTTTGGCATTCTCTTTATTAAGCTTCAAGAATAATAAGATATTTGATCCCACTGTTCTAGAATTCAACTTTTTTTCTCTAAATTATCCATCAATATCAATTTTTCTTTCGATTATTCGATAATATCTAATCTAATAGAACTACGATTAAAGAGACATCTTATTCACCACCTTTTTGCTTGCAAAATTGCAATAATTTACTTTGGCATTCTCTTTATTAGATTTCTACAATAATTCAAAGATATTTAGTTTCACTGTTGTAGGATTCTACATTTTTTCTCTAAATTATCCTTCAATTTCAATTTGTCTTTCGATTATTCGATAATATCTAATCTAATAGAACTACGATTAAAGAGACATCTTATTCACCAACTTTTTGCTTGCAAAATTGCTATAATTTACTTTGGCATTCTCTTTATTAGATTTCTACAATAATTCAAAGATATTTAGTTTCACTGTTGTAGGATTCTACTTTTTTTCTCTAAATTATCCTTCAGTTTCACTTTTTCTTTCGATTATTCGTTAATATCTAATCTAATGGGACTACGAACAAAGAGACATCTTATTCACCACCTTTCTGCTTGCAAAATTGCAATAATTTTCTTTGTTCATTCGATTTTTACGATAATTCGAAGATATTTGGTCCCACTGTTGTAGGATTCTACTTTTTTCTCTAAACTATCCTTCAGTTTCAATTTTTCTTTCAATTATTCGTTAATATTTAATCTAATGAGACTACGATCGAGGAGACATCTTAATCACCACCTTTCTGCTTACAAAATTGCTATAATTTACTTTGGCATTCTCTTTATTAAGCTTCAAGAATAATAAGATATTTGATCCCACTGTTCTAGAATTCAACTTTTTTTCTCTAAATTATCCATCAATATCAATTTTTCTTTCGATTATTCGATAATATCTAATCTAATAGAACTACGATTAAAGAGACATCTTATTCACCAACTTTTTGCTTGCAAAATGGCTATAATTTACTTTGGCATTCTCTTTATTAGATTTCTACAATAATTCAAAGATATTTAGTTTCACTGTTGTAGGATTCTACTTTTTTTCTCTAAATTATCCTTCAGTTTCACTTTTTCTTTCGATTATTCGTTAATATCTAATCTAATGGGACTACGAACAAAGAGACATCTTATTCACCACCTTTCTGCTTGCAAAATTGCAATAATTTTCTTTGTTCATTCGATTTTTACGATAATTCGAAGATATTTGGTCCCACTGTTGTAGGATTCTACTTTTTTCTCTAAACTATCCTTCAGTTTCAATTTTTCTTTCAATTATTCGTTAATATTTAATCTAATGAGACTACGATCGAGGAGACATCATAATCACCACCTTTCTGCTTACAAAATTGCTATAATTTACTTTGGCATTCTCTTTATTAAGCTTCAAGAATAATAAGATATTTGATCCCACTGTTCTAGAATTCAACTTTTTTTCTCTAAATTATCCATCAATATCAATTTTTCTTTCGATTATTCGATAATATCTAATCTAATAGAACTACGATTAAAGAGACATCTTATTCACCAACTTTTTGCTTGCAAAATTGCTATAATTTACTTTGGCATTCTCTTTATTAGATTTCTACAATAATTCAAAGATATTTAGTTTCACTGTTGTAGGATTCTACTTTTTTTCTCTAAATTATCCTTCAGTTTCACTTTTTCTTTCGATTATTCGTTAATATCTAATCTAATGGGACTACGAACAAAGAGACATCTTATTCACCACCTTTCTGCTTGCAAAATTGCAATAATTTTCTTTGTTCATTCGATTTTTACGATAATTCGAAGATATTTGGTCCCAATGTTGTAAGATTCTACATTTTTTCTCTAAACTATCCTTCAGTTTCAATTTTTCTTTCAATTATTCGTTAATATTTAATCTAATGAGACTACGATCGAGGAGACATCTTAATCACCACCTTTCTGCTTACAAAATTGCTATAATTTACTTTGGCATTCTCTTTATTAAGCTTCAAGAATAATAAGATATTTGATCCCACTGTTCTAGAATTCAACTTTTTTTCTCTAAATTATCCATCAATATCAATTTTTCTTTCGATTATTCGATAATATCTAATCTAATAGAACTACGATTAAAGAGACATCTTATTCACCACCTTTTTGCTTGCAAAATTGCAATAATTTACTTTGGCATTCTCTTTATTAGATTTCTACAATAATTCAAAGATATTTAGTTTCACTGTTGTAGGATTCTACATTTTTTCTCTAAATTATCCTTCAATTTCAATTTGTCTTTCGATTATTCGATAATATCTAATCTAATAGAACTACGATTAAAGAGACATCTTATTCACCAACTTTTTGCTTGCAAAATTGCTATAATTTACTTTGGCATTCTCTTTATTAGATTTCTACAATAATTCAAAGATATTTAGTTTCACTGTTGTAGGATTCTACTTTTTTTCTCTAAATTATCCTTCAGTTTCACTTTTTCTTTCGATTATTCGTTAATATCTAATCTAATGGGACTACGAACAAAGAGACATCTTATTCACCACCTTTCTGCTTGCAAAATTGCAATAATTTTCTTTGTTCATTCGATTTTTACGATAATTCGAAGATATTTGGTCCCACTGTTGTAGGATTCTACTTTTTTCTCTAAACTATCCTTCAGTTTCAATTTTTCTTTCAATTATTCGTTAATATTTAATCTAATGAGACTACGATCGAGGAGACATCTTAATCACCACCTTTCTGCTTACAAAATTGCTATAATTTACTTTGGCATTCTCTTTATTAAGCTTCAAGAATAATAAGATATTTGATCCCACTGTTCTAGAATTCAACTTTTTTTCTCTAAATTATCCATCAATATCAATTTTTCTTTCGATTATTCGATAATATCTAATCTAATAGAACTACGATTAAAGAGACATCTTATTCACCAACTTTTTGCTTGCAAAATGGCTATAATTTACTTTGGCATTCTCTTTATTAGATTTCTACAATAATTCAAAGATATTTAGTTTCACTGTTGTAGGATTCTACTTTTTTTCTCTAAATTATCCTTCAGTTTCACTTTTTCTTTCGATTATTCGTTAATATCTAATCTAATGGGACTACGAACAAAGAGACATCTTATTCACCACCTTTCTGCTTGCAAAATTGCAATAATTTTCTTTGTTCATTCGATTTTTACGATAATTCGAAGATATTTGGTCCCACTGTTGTAGGATTCTACTTTTTTCTCTAAACTATCCTTCAGTTTCAATTTTTCTTTCAATTATTCGTTAATATTTAATCTAATGAGACTACGATCGAGGAGACATCATAATCACCACCTTTCTGCTTACAAAATTGCTATAATTTACTTTGGCATTCTCTTTATTAAGCTTCAAGAATAATAAGATATTTGATCCCACTGTTCTAGAATTCAACTTTTTTTCTCTAAATTATCCATCAATATCAATTTTTCTTTCGATTATTCGATAATATCTAATCTAATAGAACTACGATTAAAGAGACATCTTATTCACCAACTTTTTGCTTGCAAAATTGCTATAATTTACTTTGGCATTCTCTTTATTAGATTTCTACAATAATTCAAAGATATTTAGTTTCACTGTTGTAGGATTCTACTTTTTTTCTCTAAATTATCCTTCAGTTTCACTTTTTCTTTCGATTATTCGTTAATATCTAATCTAATGGGACTACGAACAAAGAGACATCTTATTCACCACCTTTCTGCTTGCAAAATTGCAATAATTTTCTTTGTTCATTCGATTTTTACGATAATTCGAAGATATTTGGTCCCAATGTTGTAAGATTCTACATTTTTTCTCTAAACTATCCTTCAGTTTCAATTTTTCTTTCAATTATTCGTTAATATTTAATCTAATGAGACTACGATCGAGGAGACATCTTAATCACCACCTTTCTGCTTACAAAATTGCTATAATTTACTTTGGCATTCTCTTTATTAAGCTTCAAGAATAATAAGATATTTGATCCCACTGTTCTAGAATTCAACTTTTTTTCTCTAAATTATCCATCAATATCAATTTTTCTTTCGATTATTCGATAATATCTAATCTAATAGAACTACGATTAAAGAGACATCTTATTCACCACCTTTTTGCTTGCAAAATTGCAATAATTTACTTTGGCATTCTCTTTATTAGATTTCTACAATAATTCAAAGATATTTAGTTTCACTGTTGTAGGATTCTACATTTTTTCTCTAAATTATCCTTCAATTTCAATTTGTCTTTCGATTATTCGATAATATCTAATCTAATAGAACTACGATTAAAGAGACATCTTATTCACCAACTTTTTGCTTGCAAAATTGCTATAATTTACTTTGGCATTCTCTTTATTAGATTTCTACAATAATTCAAAGATATTTAGTTTCACTGTTGTAGGATTCTACTTTTTTTCTCTAAATTATCCTTCAGTTTCACTTTTTCTTTCGATTATTCGTTAATATCTAATCTAATGGGACTACGAACAAAGAGACATCTTATTCACCACCTTTCTGCTTGCAAAATTGCAATAATTTTCTTTGTTCATTCGATTTTTACGATAATTCGAAGATATTTGGTCCCACTGTTGTAGGATTCTACTTTTTTCTCTAAACTATCCTTCAGTTTCAATTTTTCTTTCAATTATTCGTTAATATTTAATCTAATGAGACTACGATCGAGGAGACATCTTAATCACCACCTTTCTGCTTACAAAATTGCTATAATTTACTTTGGCATTCTCTTTATTAAGCTTCAAGAATAATAAGATATTTGATCCCACTGTTCTAGAATTCAACTTTTTTTCTCTAAATTATCCATCAATATCAATTTTTCTTTCGATTATTCGATAATATCTAATCTAATAGAACTACGATTAAAGAGACATCTTATTCACCAACTTTTTGCTTGCAAAATGGCTATAATTTACTTTGGCATTCTCTTTATTAGATTTCTACAATAATTCAAAGATATTTAGTTTCACTGTTGTAGGATTCTACTTTTTTTCTCTAAATTATCCTTCAGTTTCACTTTTTCTTTCGATTATTCGTTAATATCTAATCTAATGGGACTACGAACAAAGAGACATCTTATTCACCACCTTTCTGCTTGCAAAATTGCAATAATTTTCTTTGTTCATTCGATTTTTACGATAATTCGAAGATATTTGGTCCCACTGTTGTAGGATTCTACTTTTTTCTCTAAACTATCCTTCAGTTTCAATTTTTCTTTCAATTATTCGTTAATATTTAATCTAATGAGACTACGATCGAGGAGACATCATAATCACCACCTTTCTGCTTACAAAATTGCTATAATTTACTTTGGCATTCTCTTTATTAAGCTTCAAGAATAATAAGATATTTGATCCCACTGTTCTAGAATTCAACTTTTTTTCTCTAAATTATCCATCAATATCAATTTTTCTTTCGATTATTCGATAATATCTAATCTAATAGAACTACGATTAAAGAGACATCTTATTCACCAACTTTTTGCTTGCAAAATTGCTATAATTTACTTTGGCATTCTCTTTATTAGATTTCTACAATAATTCAAAGATATTTAGTTTCACTGTTGTAGGATTCTACTTTTTTTCTCTAAATTATCCTTCAGTTTCACTTTTTCTTTCGATTATTCGTTAATATCTAATCTAATGGGACTACGAACAAAGAGACATCTTATTCACCACCTTTCTGCTTGCAAAATTGCAATAATTTTCTTTGTTCATTAGATTTTTACGATAATTCGAAGATATTTGGTCCCAATGTTGTAAAATTCTACTTTTTTTCTCTAAATTATCCTTCAGTTTCACTTTTTCTTTCGATTATTCGTTAATATCTAATCTAATGGGACTACGAACAAAGAGACATCTTATTCACCACCTTTCTGCTTGCAAAATTGCAATAATTTTCTTTGTTCATTAGATTTTTACGATAATTCGAAGATATTTGGTCCCAATGTTGTAAGATTCTACATTTTTTCTCTAAATTATCCTTCAGTTTCACTTTTTCTTTCGATTATTCGTTAATATCTAATCTAATGGAACTACGATTAAAGAGACATCTTATTCACCAACTTTTTGCTTGCAAAATTGCTATAATTTACTTTGGCATTCTCTTTATTAGATTTCTACAATAATTCAAAGATATTTAGTTTCACTGTTGTAGGATTCTACTTTTTTTCTCTAAATTATCCTTCAGTTTCACTTTTTCTTTCGATTATTCGTTAATATCTAATCTAATGGGACTACGAACAAAGAGACATCTTATTCACCACCTTTCTGCTTGCAAAATTGCAATAATTTTCTTTGTTCATTAGATTTTTACGATAATTCGAAGATATTTGGTCCCAATGTTGTAAGATTCTACTTTTTTTCTCTAAATTATCCTTCAGTTTCACTTTTTCTTTCGATTATTCGTTAATATCTAATCTAATGGGACTACGATCGAGGAGACATCTTATTCACCACCTTTCTGCTTGCAAAATTGCAATAATTTTCTTTGTTCATTAGATTTTTACGATAATTCGAAGATATTTGGTCCCAATGTTGTAAGATTCTACATTTTTTCTCTAAATTATCCTTCAGTTTCACTTTTTCTTTCGATTATTCGTTAATATCTAATCTAATAGAACTACGATTAAAGAGACATCTTATTCACCACCTTTTTGCTTGCAAAATTGCTATAATTTACTTTGGCATTCTCTTTATTAGATTTCTACAATAATTCAAAGATATTTAGTTTCACTGTTGTAGGATTCTACTTTTTTTCTCTAAATTATCCTTCAGTTCCACTTTTTCTTTCGATTATTCGTTAATATCTAATCTAATGGGACTACGATCGCGGAGACATCTTATTCACCACCTTTTTGTTTGCAAAATTGCTATAATTTACTTTGGCATTCTCTTTATTATGCTTCAACAATAATAAGATATTTGATCCCACTGTTCTAGGATTCTACATTTTTTCTCCAAATTATCCTTTAATTTCAATTTTTCTTTCGATTATTCGTTAATATGTAATCTAACGAGACTACCATCGAAGAGATATTATTTATTTTCACAACCTTTTTGCTTGCAAAACTGCACTAATTCACTTGGACATACTCACTTATCAGCATAAAATACAGTTACTCACCTATAAAATATCTTTTTAGCAAGAATAAATCTCCAATCTTTTCATACCTCGTTTAAACCAATATGGCATACAGCCAAAAGTAAAACTTTCACTACGGTCAATACTTTAACTAAAAGTTAAATACAGTGTTTCATTTCTGAGACACTGTGCATTTAAGGGTTGACATTCTTCTTCGACAACGTTGAAATACTTTTAAAATCAAGACATCCTTCGCCTATTAACCAAAATTCGCATCTCCAGGGGGCGACGACACCCTACCTATCGCCGTCCTCCGCGACGCTTACCTGAGAAACGGCAGTTACAACGTGTTCCTGGTCGACTGGGGTGCTTTGTGCGCGGCACCGTGTTACCCAGCAGCGGTGGCGAATCTTCGTCCCGTGGCCCGTTGCCTGGCCGGGACTTTAACGACCTTGCGAAACCTGGGCCTGCCGATCTCGAGGACAACCTGCGTGGGACACTCGTTGGGCGCCCACGTTTGCGGGATCATGGCGAACTTTCTGCTGTTTAGGATGCATCGAATAATCGGTCTGGACCCGGCCAGGCCTCTGCTGCGTCCCGGTTACGTGAATCGACTGGACAGCGGCGACGCCGACTTCGTCGAGGTGATTCACACGAACGCCGGATATTACGGGGAGAGCGGACGCATGGGCCACGTGGATTTCTGCGTGAACGGCGGCAAGGTGCAGCCGTTCTGCGAGAACAAACCGAACGATCAGCTGTGCAGTCACGTCTGGGTCGTTTGTTACATGGCGCAGAGCATCGACAACGGCGGCCTGGGATCCATGGCGGAGCCGTGCTCCAGAAGGTGTCCCTCCGGGCCCAGAATCGCTGTCAGGGCCGGGGAATACGTGCCCATGGGCCAGCACACGCCGATCGAGACCAGGGGGTCCTTCTGTTTCACTGGAAAGCACCCACCGTATTGTCCCAAGTACGGGAATGGACACGGTGACCCTAGGTGCTGCCTGCCGGACAAGAAGCCCGTTTCTTGGTAACAGAGAGGGTGAGTTTACCGGTTGCGGCATGATATGACATTCGTCGCGATGGACTGAATTCTGTACGATGTGCACGAGACGATTTGTGAACCGATGCACAGCTCTGAACGATGGTAAATTAATCGCGTCGGAGAATTCGGAAATTACTAAGGCGGGCTGCGAAGAAGTTTCGCTCGTGAAATGCGGTTTCGTGATAGCGACGCCATGTTAGTCAGTTTTGGGCAATACGAGATCCCAAAAAATGCTTCAATAACATTTTAATAAAATACTGATTGCTAATTTTTTCCAGCTTTGTGCAGTGGACGAAATTTCTATGAGAAGACTATTTGGTATAAAAATGGCTAGAATATTGATAGTATTATTGAAGAAATGATTAAAAAACAATAGAAAGCAGAAAATAACTAATATATAACATTTTTAAAGACTGTTTTTTAAGTCTTCTTGTGTGAAGCGCGTTTTTTCAGGCTTTCTTATGGAATTTTTTGTGAACAAACTGTAAGACCTTTCGCAGTCAAACTTACAAGGTTTATTTATACGAATTTCAGTGATATTTTAAAATTTTTTAGATGAAAAAAAGTTAAAATTGATATCACTGTATAATCTCAAATTCCAGCCATTCTATTTGTTTGAAATAAATAAACATGAAAGATTCGTAATTAATACGAGTTTAGTTATAGCCAAATTCCGACCACTGTAACATCTAGAAATAATGTATGATCGAGCAACCATTTCAATGCTACGATAATGAAAAATTTGTATATACTTGGAGAGAAGGAAAAAGGTAAATATGATCGAAGAGATGATTTTACGGAATCTGTTCTCGCGGTAGAAGAGTCAATGACTGTACATAAGTATGTTTCGCAACCAGAACTTTCAGAAACCGAAAACCATTGCATATTTAAGGCAGACACTATTAATCTTGACTAGTTTCTCTATTAAATCAGCCATCGGGAAGTCAACATTTCAAAAATTAATAGAACGACGCTATTTCGAACAGAAGTATTTAATTTCCAGGCCTTTTTCCTTTTCTTGGAACAGTTAAATATAGAAAATATTCAGAATTTCGAACCGATCGTTTTCAAATTTTATTACGATATTTTCAAGATAGTACAAAAGAAATTGATTTCTTTATTTGAAATTATATTAATCCCACGTAATTGTAAAATCAACTTTGTCACTCACCTATACAGAAGGTGAAGTCAGCAAGATATTAAAAAAGGCTCTTCCACAGCTCCATAGTACACAGTGTGTCCCATTTAAATCCATTTCCTACCCAAGCACCATATATGATGCACGAACGTTTCCCGTTGACACACTTCCGTGCGTCACATATGATGCACGAGTATGTACTCGTGTATTTCAGGACAGCTTCCTGAAAGAAACATACAATGAATTAGTATATATATTAACTTATTGTAATATTAAACTTATAACATTAACTTACAATATTAATAGTTATAACACAGTATTAAACTTCAAATATCAATATTATAATATGTTGTTCCAAAAGGAACGAACATTTCCGTTTATCAGTTTTACACCGAGCCAACCTAAATTTATACTTACTATTTTCATTCGTTTTCAAAAAACAATCGTTAATCGTAAACATTGAATTGGACGTGTGTCAGAAACTGTCAGCGATATCGGAGAATATCTCAGAAGAAAGTTGCGGGAAATATTAGTCCCGATTATTTTCATAGCTGTAACCATTATACTAGTTATGGGCACGGTGTTTACTCGAAATTGATTTTGCTGAACTAATCGACGAGCACAGGTGTTCGCGGACAAGTGGACCTTCGTACGGTACCACGAAGCGTACAGTTCAAACTCGGAATGCGATTGCGTATTCGGACACGGTACGTGTCGTCCGGAAAAATCTCGTATCCGTGATCTACCGACCGATCGATCCCGTTACCCGCTCCACTGAGCCGCCATAAATGTATTCCAGACAATGTCCATTGACCGGACAACTGTTTTTCAATCCATCTTTGCGAGCGTCATTGTGTAATCGATCAATTGCTATGACACGCGCGTTCAAAGTATAATAAACGACTTCGCACACCGAACGAACCGCATACTTGAAATATTTAACAACTTTATTATGCAATTGTTACTAGATTAACTATGCTTCCACGAGAAAAAACATTGAACGCAATAACCAGAGAAATATTTTTTTTAACGCCTAAACAATATTAATACGGAGTATTACTATTAAATAAATATTTTTTGTATGATGTACACGGTAACTATTGCGAGCAATCTTCCTTCCATTCGTCGCTATCGCGAACAATCGTTTTGTAAACGGATAGCATAAGAAAAGACTTAAATTATAATGTTCGTTTGCGAGTAGCTGTAAAGCCTTTTCGAACTAATTGGAATTGCTATCAACAAAAATTATGTATACGATCTTGGTACAAAAGAAATAGTAATTAGACGTTGTTGAAGATGAAATAACTCATACTGTATGATATGTAATCTATTATGTACAATAACTAAATATACTATGTTGTATTATTACTTGTTTACATTTTTCAGGGAAGCATGCCTCTCCACAAAACTTTCCAAATTTTCTAGTTATTTGAAATATATGTTAAATCTTTGTTATTTTAAGAGAATAAAATTTATATTGAATTTATTGCTCTGTTGTGCATTTCAAATTCTATTTTTCATGATAAATGTAGTTTTTGGACTATCATAATAAGTATTGCAAGTCATACGTCGGAAGCAAAACTACTAAACGTGATGCTTGGGGCACACAGGACTCACACAGCCCGAAGGGAAAGTATATGGCCAAAAATCGGTCCGACGCAAAACGTGTTAAGGCTTTCGAGGTTCTCACGAGTCCGGCGGTTCTATAAAAACTAGCTGGAAACATTACTATGAGCAATTTCGCTGAAAGACTTGAAAGGGAACGTATTGAGAGAGCCTATCGTTATACGGAAGCTCGTCGATGGATCCAGACGTCGTTGAGTAGCCGACGAACCGGCGCCCCCGCTGATTCAAAAGTGTTTCGGGAGACATCGATACTGAAAGTCGGAGGGATCCTCGAAAGGGCGACGTATAGACGCGACACGATTCTTAACTACAAGAACTCGTGTCTGCAGATTCTTACCTCCTCTTGAGAGCCGTGGTTTCCGAAATTTGCCTAACAACGATACCTTCCTCCCAGGAACATTCTTCTCTTGCGAAGGATATCGATGTAACGTCTAAAATATCAATAATATATTAGATCAGTGCTTTTTAAAATAGGGGATGCGACCACCAGACAGATTACAAATACTATTTATTTTCTCGTGCAAGAATTTTGTGAGCACTATTTACCCAAAAACTTCGTTGAAATGATTCTGAATATTCAATGAGTAGTTAATTTAGCCAATGAACACAACTTGATCGTAAATTAATTTAAATAAATCTAAGAAAAATGATTTATTTATGAATCTTGGTCGCAGAGACTGCCTCCTAAGACTTAAGACACTATTTGGCTAGTACTTATTTCAACATACTCAATTTAATTTTGTAATTAATTAATAAATGATTCCATCATCTTTGGAGTGTGAAAAAATAAAGAAAATATGATGGGTTAATATTTTTGTTCGACAACTCTACCTTGTTTAATATTATTTTATTTTCTAAATAGAAATCGTTTTTAAGTGGTTTAGGGTTTCTAAATGCGGAAAAAAATGGGAATTAATACGATCTTGCGCGGAGATATAAATTACAACGCGAGGCATTCGTATAAAACGTAATTTATTACAACGATAACGCACAGTAAAAAAAAAACACCGATTTCCTTAGACTATGTATTATAAGTAACGATAATGTACATAAAAATATTTTGACCTTTCAAAAATCCGAATACAAATTTATCGATAAAAATACACATATACATGATATGCATAAATGCACACAAATTATTAAAAAATAATACAGCGTGTATAATACTGGCAGACTGTATTCTTTTGCATGCTCTGCTCGTTCGAAGCATGTCAAGGAACCTAGTGTACAGTTAATAACAATAATAATTACATTAGTAATAATTACTTATATGTTCAAACATTCGTCCCTTTGGTAAAGGCACTATTATTTGTACTTATTTACATTCGCGCGGAGTAAATCCATAATATAAGGCACTGATTCTCTTTTAATTATTGCTTTCCATTACGTAACTCTTTGATATCTTGCTTGCTCATTTTTCAAATACGAGCGAAGCACATAGGTTTCTTCGTTAACTATACAAACTCAGGTAAAATAGAATACATCTATTGGAGCATTCGGAGCGAGGAATCCTTCCAAACAGTCGAGAAGTCATTGGAAATATCTTTGGTCGTTTTCCAGCAATCGATACAAGGATAAAAGGTAAAAGTTCGAAAATATTCTATCTCGTACGCTTGCTTAAGGCACAATATTTTTTCAAAACCCCAGAAGTGCATTCTTTCAGAAGCAAATTCCTTCAACATGCGAAATATACAAATTCAGATATTTTCAGGTATTTCGCTTTACAGCCTTAAACCACCATAACGGTGTACATCAAACTGATTCTCACTAATACAACAATTCATACACTTAGGCAACTTCGTTTTTAACAACTTTCTCCCTCGAATATCTGTCTAATTTTACATTTTTATCGACAATAATCGATGATAGGACCGAATCAGAGAAGATCGAGATTAATCTTCCATCGTTGCTAAATATAGGAAATCTTTGGTTCATCGTCCGATGGAATTTATCCCATCTCTTTATTCCTTCTAACAGACTTAATCTTAAAACTACTTTACCATGAAATCCTTCAATTTTCTTACCATGGGTACCCCGAGGACCCCGGCTATCGAATAAGCGTATAAATCATATTTAAAATTCTTGTACTTAAAAGTTATCTTTCACTTTAAAAACGCAAGTTAACGTAGAATTGTCTAGACAGTGATCCAGATCGATTTGGCAATATATTAACAAGATCAAAATTTTTTTAATAAAATATAGGAAAGGGTAGCCGATTATTGGCACCAAAATGGCAGATATTTAATAATACTTCGAGAACTGTGGCAACGGTTGATATTGCAACCTTATCAAATCAGGTTGCATGGTGATAGAAGGATGTTGCAGACGCAGGTAATTCACAGGAAAATTTAGAAGATCGTATCCGGGCGATAGTCTCGAAGATACGGCAGCAGACGAAAACTTTGGCGACGAATCGACCCACGGCCTGTGCAATCGTGGCTGCGTGTCGCGATCGATTTCTCTCGATGGTGAATTCCTATGTATCGAGGGTAAGGGTGGACTGACACCCCCGCAGCTACTGACACCGCTGTCGTCGAGACTCCCGGTTTCGCTGGACGCAGTCTTTGGCCTCTGAGCGACGATGTCCAGGTGACTCGATGCCCTGTTCGATTCAAATTCCGAGGACACGTTGCCCTCCTCGTCGTCGATACGACTCGATCTCTCCATTTCCGTTTGATGGAATTTCCTCTTGCACCGCGACTGACCCGTCTCCCGGAAACCTTTCGCGAACGGATTGTAGTTGATCTTCAATTTCGTAATATTCTCGTTCTGAAAAAGTCAAATGTCTTTTTTTACTTCCAAAGTAAAGTATCGCTATTTCGAAGCTTCCAACTTTGAATTGAGTTATCATCGTAGAATAAATAGCAATTAAACGCATCAAGTGTACCGTAAAAATTACTTCCAATGGTAGGTATGCATTTTATTCGGATTTTAGTAACGGCTTGAACGTATCGAGAAAATCAAGTTCTGTTGATTTGTGACGACAGATAAAAATATATTATCGAGTATATCCAGATATCCGTCCGCAAAGTGTTAGGAAACATCGTGTATGTACATAGATATTTACCTGATAAGCGGTCACGGCAATGAACTCCGTTTCGCTGAATCTGAACGACGAGGCTGGATGGGAGTATAGATCGTTCAGTCTTGTCGCGTCGTCGCAACGAATGATCCAGATTCGCGGATTATACTTGTGCATGGACGTCAGGACCACCTGCAAAAAATAGCATGACTTTTTAGTGGTATCTTAACAACAAACACACCGATGGAAATAAAATTGCAACGTTTGATTTTTACTTAGACGCATAGTTTATAGAATTTTTATATAGAATCACACATTTAACAAATTTATTTCTGTTCGTTTGTCTGTCTACTCCGGGTTAACTTAATCTACTGAACCGATTTCGATTAAACCACCTCTATTCTCGTCCATACAAATCAGGAAACAGACAATTTATTCTTGCTTACAAATTATAAATGCAACGGAAAAACGACTGAAAGGATCGCAATAAAATTTAAAACGTATTTCGAAAGTCGATCAAATTAAAGTATTAACTATATAACATTGAAAAATTCCTGTTGACGGTTGATAATAAACGTAATAATAATTACCGATCGAGAAACGCGAGATTAATTCTTGGTCGGGTATTGGTGGTTGCGCCGCGGCCCCAAATCGTAATGGACATCTTCCGTTTTTTACCGGTCGCGGAGAAGAGATTCCCTTCACTCCGGCCGACAGACGCGAGGGAGAATTTTATTAAATTCGTAATTAGTTTGAAGAATCGGGTAAAGGGATGCCGCTTCGTCAAGATAAGTTGGCGCCTCGCTAAAGATGCCGACGACGACGGGGACAGACGCGATTCTCGAAAACCAGACTGGCCCTTCAACCTTCCCGGAATCACACGCTCTCGGGCCAATTCAAAATCTTGACTAAACTGCATGACTTACGGCGATGCAGCTTCGATCCAATCGCCAGGGTGCGAAACGAAACGAAGAAATTTCAGTGAAGCTATCTAACGATCGAAATTTTCAGATTTCAGAAAGGTTTTATTGGCTCTTTCACACCATATATCGGGTTTTCACGTTGAAATATTTGAAATAAATTAGGTTCGATTCTTTAGGAGCTTTGCGTATTTTTCAGGCGAAGGAGTTGGGGTAAAGAGAATCGGAATTCTTTCGTTTTAATAATTGCTTGCGGAAGCGTGCGCGGTCTTCGGGGTGCTCGAGACGGAGCAGATCCGCAGAAGTAATTCCCGAAGTATGAATTCCGGAAAATTGAAAGAACTGGCAAGGGGCGCCGTTGAAGGCAGCTGCCAGGACTTGTCCTGCCGAGGCGTAAACAAACCCACTCGCCGAGAGAAAAGGGAGGTATATCGATTACAGGGTGTCGTGGAGCGTGTTAATCTCCGTTCTTCACGGACAACGCCCGAAACCGACGTACCCGGCACCGTTTTGAGTAGCTTAAGTCCTCCCGAAGGTACGGAGAGTATATACGCGCAGCGTCGACCTTTTCCCTTTTCCAGATTTTAATCCGGTCCCCGGCTCCCGTGCACGGAAACGCCGAGTTTGGTCACCTCGGCCATTTAACAGGCCCTCCTGTTAGCGGACCCATTAGGACAGTGGTTCTTAACTTTCATCGACCCCTTCTGGCAATCTAACGCAACTCACGAAACCTGTCTATGCAATATTGCTCAGAATAATATTTTTTGATATATGTTAATTCAATCAAAAAGATGAGGATATTGAAAGCTTAACGTCGCATCAACAACGATGTCATTAGCGATATAGATTAGTATTTGTCGGTGATTAAATAGATTCGTAGAGTGATTCGTTGCTATGGATTAATTTGAGGATATTATTCGCATTTTCACTAAAGGAAGCTTTTAATAATCTTCAAATTCATCCATAGCGACAAATCACTCTACGAATCACCGACAAATAATAATCTATGTTGCTAATGACCTCGTTGTCGATGCGACGTTAAGCTTTCAACTAAAAAGAAGAGACGAGGATAAGCTTACAAAGGAATATCAGAATCATCAAAGACTTTTTTTAGTATCAATTCTATCAAATTTATGGTTCTAACATCAACGAGCTTATCCTTGGTTAATTGTAGGCCTGCATTTTCAATTTTATGTTAAACAAAAAAGGATTGTAGATCCATATTCAGTTTTAACGTAATCCATAATTGTTAAAAGAATTCTGTAAGGTTTCCTGACGTTTGTAAAAAGAATTAACTGCGAGTGGAAGGTTGAAGTTAATTGGTACAAAGTGACGTATCGTTTGAGAACAGCTGGCGCTTTTTCTCTACATCTTCAATTTTATGTTAAACAAAAACGGATTGTGAATCCACATTCAATTTTATCGTCATCTATAATTGTTAAAGGAATTCTGCAGTGTTTTCGGAGGTTTACAAAATCTGTTCCTCAAAAAGATGTTGGAGGCATTTCTTTTTAAAGTTTTGAATCTAAAGAATTAACTACGAGTGGAAAGTTGAAGTTAATTGGCGCAAAGTGAGGTATCGTTTGAAAACAGCAGGCGTTTTTTTTTAAGTAGGTCCCAATCGGAAGTGAAACGAGTAGCTGAGAGGGTGGATCCGTGTGTGGCGACCTCCCGCATGCGGCTCGGGCGAAGAGAAACCAGTAAGTCGAAACCAGAGACACGCAAAGAAAGAGAGAGAAGAGGCATTTAAGGACAAGCTGGCCTGTCTAAACATGGGACATCTAGATAAATGGAACGCCGCTACTGCTCCTAGTGAATCGCCAGCTTCCTTTTCCGTACTCCTCTATACGCTTCCAATCCTTTTCCCCGAGATATATTCTTGAATTCTTTTTCTTGTAACAAACGTGCACAAACCTTCCTTTCCAATTTATTGAAATACACAAAAAAATGTTCAAATCTTTAGAAGCATTGAATAAAAATACACTATTTTCACGTTCTCACTGAATTCCTAGTATAAAAGAATCTTTTAATAAATTCAACTTAGGGGTGTGAGAATAGAGGATGTTTAAAACGATCCGAGGAAGATTGTTATACTTCTTTTTACAAAGTTGGAATAGTATAAATGTTGATTACGTTTCGCCTTGCACCATATAAATCAGTTACAGCAAATAGGGAGTACTCACGTTAGTTTTGGGATCAACGGCGTTGTTGGTCAGCTTGAGCTTATTGAAACTGATAGGATGTTGCATCCAGTGGGAACCTGGCGCCGGACTATCCGGATGCAGGTAAATTCTCCGATCGATTCGAGGCTGAGGCTCGGCTGGACCAGCCGACGTCCATCCTCTTGCGTTCCTAGGACCATCGTCGACGCCTGCACCGCCGCCAACATACTTGTGTCGACGATCGGACGCCGGTTCCACTTCGAGAAGAACGTAGTAGCTAGCACGACACTCCAATCCAGTGACAGACAGCTGAATCGATGGAAACATTCGTCTGGAACAAAACATAATACCTACTTGTTACATAAAACAAAATTGTTAATCTGAAACCGTAGGTGATCTAAACCTCTTTCATCGATACTCATACCCATGCAATAAATCAACAAGTTTCTCGTAACAATAAACAATATAAAAGTTTATAGATTTGAAAAAAAATAATCTCAATGTTTTTTCGTTCACTGCATAGATTTGAGAATAAAACGTAACACATCTCTTAATCGTGATTACTCATCATTTGTTTCGAGCAGTGGTGCATTCTTTTGCAGAGGAAACGATTCAACGATCACAGAAGTCATCGTGCTTAAAATTATTTTTTGTCGTAATTACAACTCAATAATATGAAGTTTCAAAACACATAATATTTCCTGGAGTTCGAATGTTTCGATTAAATGTTTCGACGAGTTTGGAAATACCGATGAGATCACGTAAATCGATCGTTTGGATTTTCCGTTGTTAAAATTGCGTTCGAAACAATGCGAACGGAGTTCCAGAGAAGATTACGATTTCCGAAGGTGATTAGCGTGCATATTATGCATTAGCGTGGACATATATGCGTCACTTTACGAAAGTACGACTCCAAGAGCCTAATTCGTGGACACAGGTTGGACTTCCCGCTGCTAATTGCGTCCATTTCTCGAGATGCATATCTTTCGCGGGCTTAACTTTTAAATCCCTAAAAGTCAGGTACCGCTGCGATCAAGCTTAGATCTAATTCCTTTTACTTCCAGCACGGTTACGTACGTAACGCAGCACGAATTGCGAAAGAAAGAAGAAAGATTCCCCGTTAATTTTCATCGTGTTGTCCCATTGACTCCCATGGGAGCGGATAAAAAGCGGTACAAAGCGACGGTGGAAAATCCGCAATTAGGTATGCAAACGGGCCCGAGCCACCGCAGATTGACTTTTGGAGGTTTACTTATGGGATTGTCCGCAAGTTTGAAATGTTTACACGAGGGGGAGAAGTTGCTGTCGGGATCGAAAGATAGCAGGGCCCGTGATGCTCTCAAAGAGTCGCCGGAAGTAACTGGAGTTCGAGTCGTTCCTTCGGCGACGCCCACTCGTCGCCGGGACGTTAATGACAGGGAATTTTCTGTCCCTTCGTTCTCGTTCAGTTTGCTTATGCTACCTGTGGAGAGCAGTGTGTTTTTAGCCTTGTCTAGGATGACGGCCAAAGGTACCATAGTTATGCTACTCTGGTGTATAGAGAAAAATATTTCATTGCATCGATCACATTCTTTCCTAACGTATCGATGTCGAAAATATCGAACTCGTTCGACTCGATCGAAAATGGGCAATAGAAACGTAAATGAATATATGACTTCATTGAAAAAAAAGAGAAAACATTATGTCCTTGAAATCATCTTGACACCTGGCATGCGAGAAAATAAATTTACTTGACGAGCATGTGCTTTAAAATACTTGATCTCTGTCTGATAACAATTTTTGATATCAGTATTTATGGAAACACGATTGTCACGCATTTGCGTACCTTCATTGTTTCTACTTTCTTCCTTGTCACGAGTAGACGTGTTAAGGTTGTATTAGATCGTTAGGTAGATTAGATGCACAATTTAGTTTCGTGAGGTATATTAAAAATAATTTATTTAGTCAAAATTCAACGTCGCACGTTCGAAACTAGAATAGTATAGAAATTTTGCTCTTTACCGTAGCTACGATTGCTAAAATAAAATAAGCAGGAGTTATACGCGTTGCGATTTTTTGAACGGGAAATCGTCACGTGCGTGAACCGTTTAAGCCTTCGAATCGAATCGTGGCTTCGTTTGTATATAAACTAAATTCTTCTGCGAACTACGTCGGCGTAAAGCAATCAATGGTTTCGAGAAAAGATTTAGAGGTAACAGATTTACACATGACACCTTTAGGCGATATCGTTTCGTTTATAAACACGAGTATTAAATAAAGATATATCTACTGATAAAGACATGGCCGGAGAGAATGTATCTGGATGGAGTTCAGATTTAGTGATCGAAACGTTCGAGAAAAGTTATTTCATTATTCATTAACGAGTTCGTACCACATAAACCAGTTACTCATTTTATTTTTAACGCATTGAAGTTGTTCTCCCTCTTTGCTTTTAATATTAGTAAAATCTTGCTGTTAAAAAAATGATATAGAATGTTTCCTCATTTCCACGTGTAACATTAAACGTTTCTGTTGCAAAACCATATTTATACAAATTTAGCAAAAAGACTATCCTAGATGCAAATTTTACACTGCCAAGAATATTTGACAAAAATAACTCAGTATGCAAAGAAGAAATGAAAATATCCTTACATTAATAAACTAACGTTTAGGACAAAATTAAACGTTGTTGCTACACCTAAATAATTATTAGCTGTTTGCGTCAGAATATTACAATAAAATAGATATGATAGGAGTCAGAAAATTGTATGTCGAGCTGAATTCGACGTAAGACTAGAACCTTGACATAGGACCTCAAAGGGTTGAGCTTTGAGCAACCGCGAAGCGATCAAGTTCGCAACGTTTAACCTACGATTTATTCGACGTTGGGGAAAAAAATTCTCAGGAGACTCGTTCGAGAATGATAGGGAGGATCAACGACCATGCCCTCGTTGTTGGATCCACTAAAAGTGGCGCCCTTATAAGTGGAGGATTACGCCGTCGCGACGGCTGCTGGAAGGCCCGTGCGCCGATGATCCGAGCGTCTGGTCCTTTTAAAAAGCCTCTCGAGATTATCGAATAACCAGATAATGTCGTAATAACGTGATACAACGCGTGCATCGGCAGCACGCGCCCCGCTTCTCTTTCATCTCGCAGATTAGATGAATCAAAAGTCACGTGGCTCGGCGGAACAGTGTAAAAAGGCCTTAGATCCGCGCAACTACGCAGGATTCGATTATAAATACAGTTTTCTATACGTCGTGATCTTACTTTAAAATCGTGGTTATCGAACGGTTTGCTTTAACTCCAATTTGCAATAAGAAATATGTGAAACTACTGGATCAAAAATGGACAGAAATCTTGGGCATTTATATAATATTGGTGAACTAATATTCAAACTGGGGAAACAATTAATCGTCACAATTACACAGGGTGCTCGATCACCCGTGGGGGAAAATTTTAATGAGAGAATTTAAAGGCCAAAATAAGACGAAAATCAAGAATATCAATTTCTTGAGTGAGGCTTCGTTAAAAAGTTATTAAAAAATTTCAAATCATTCTGAAAAAATTATTTTTGGTTGCGGGGGTCAAATACAATCATTTTTGGTGAATACACATACCCCCGAAATCCTACTCACTTTCGAGAAAAACATTCAGGTAGATGCTAAAATTTTTCGGCAAAAAAAATTTTTCAAATCGTAAAAAAATTATTTTTAGTTGCAGGGGACAATTACAATTATTTTTGGTCATTAGATACACTCCCGAAATCCTACCTATTTTCTACAAAAAAATTCGAGAATGTGTAAAATTTCTCGACAAAATTAAAAAATTTCAAATCGTTCTGGAAAAATTATTTTCGGTTGCGGGGGTCAATTACAATCATTTTTGGTGAATAGACATACCACCGAAATCATGCGCATTTCCGAGAAAAAAATTCAATACAGGCGGAACTTTAAACGTTAATAGCTTTTTAACGAAGCCTCCATCAACAAATTGGTATTCATAATTTGAGTCCTATTTTGGCCTCTAGAATCTTCCATTACAATTTTTCCCAGAGGTGGCCGAACACCCTGTATATGAGTAATCTAACAATATGTAAGCATCAAAGATCCTCCTAAAGCTAAGATATATACTTTACAAGCTTTACAAACTAACAAACTTTTTTAGGGAATTTTTTCCAGCTCCAAATGACAACCGTAAACCGAAGAACGTAATCGGTGACGGACGAATCGCGACGAAACGTGAAATTAATTATCTCTGCTTAGGAACAGGACGCTGCGAGGGAAAAGGAGCAGGTATGGAGGAAAAGAGGAAACAAATGCCGAAGAGTTCTGGAATTGCGCTTCTGGGGCGCACGTTTTTCCTGTCCACGCCATCGGCGATGGTGCAAGGCCGCCAGGAGCGCGAACGTGGGGGGTAAACGGGGACAGAAGGTGATAAAGGGAACAAAGTGCATGCACCGAAAAAGCGAGACTTTGTCGGTCAGAGAAACACGAATGAGTCGATCGTGTCACGGAATACTGATTGGTATACGCGCGGCCTGGGACAGGGTGCACGTGGTTGACACGTGGTGCTTTCGGAAGAACAGAATCCTCGCTGGCCCGGAAGGCCACGGATACACGGATGGGACGTACACCTTCGTTACTATTGTGAAGCTTGGACCGCCCATGAATTTCACCAGTGTTCATCCACTGTCTCTTAAAAGTTATTTATTCTCAGTATCCTGCTTCTATCTGCCAGGAGTAACAAGACGAAGCGTAGTCGTAAATCTCACCTCTGTCGCTAAAACGGTGTAATCGACTGTCACCTGCTGGATCAGTCTATAACGTAACACGCTTCGTACAGTTAATAGTGAACATATTTAATTAAATAAATACATTGTCCAATGAAACCTCAACACTATCTAGCAGAATGTGTCAGAATAATTCCTCCCTTCTTAGTCTTTGGTCGGCGTGTTAATAGCGTCTTCGCGTTAATGATAGAAAAGTATCCATCGGGTTAAATCGCTTCGGATGGACAGATCTTATCGAACATTTTAAGGGGCCTGTTTTTGTCACATCGGTGTTACCCTCTACCCTTTCGTTCCCCGCGTTCGAAACGTAACCATCTGGCTGAAATCGACGCGTTATCTAGCGCGTAGGTTATGCAAAATTCTTCGTAATCGTTATCTTAGATAGGTACGTCTCTGTATCTGAAAAGGAGTGACCAGTAGCTCGATCGTTTCCGGTAAAGAATGGCCGGAAGTCGTGATTCATCTACATCCGTCCGGTCGTACGACTTTTCCCGCAAATCTACCTTCGTAAAATGATTCCGAGATCGGTGACGCCGATAAATGCAGTCACGTCGTCACGACCTTACTTTTACGACCTTTCTTAACCACCTTCCGTGAAACTAATCGCCCTGTCGTCGCGAGAGGGCATTTCTCGTTAAAGGCGTCCATTTTCCTCCCCAAACTGATACGTAGGTACGTTGTACGAAAACTTTGCGTTAGTGGAACCTGACTCATCTACGATGACGTATATAACATACCAGGTATACTACTTTTATAGTAAATAATTTATTGTGCTAGTCAAATTTGAAAGTATTGAGACGCTAAAGATTGAATTGTACAAATGTTTATACAAACAATATATGACTGCATTTCATGAAACATTGTAAGTTGAAAGTTAAGAGCAATACAGAGAGAATTTTTCAGGTAAAGACACTACTACGGGTTTTCGACAGCGACAATGGGTGTGGTCGCATGGCGCCTGTTGGACTATTCAACCCCTGATGGAATTTAAGGAAAAAAATTTCTGTAATGGGCTCATCGAAAAAATATGTCCCTCGTAACTCGCAGACGCACAAAACTTCGATAATTAAGCAAAAGTATTACTCAATTATATGAACAAGTACCAGACGTATATACATATTACAATACTCCTTTTACCTTTGCTTCGATTAAACAATATTTTCATAATTTAAAAGTAAACTTTTCCGGATAACGGAGGCTTGTAAGAGACAAATTCTCGACGATAAATAAATTTTTTTTAAAATTACTATTCATGTACTCACCGGCCCGTCTTCGTAATTATCATTTCCGTCGTTTCGGCGTGGAATTGCTGCCAGAGCTCCCGATTTTGTAGTTCAACCCTCACCTCGGGAAGAAGAGGTCCTCTTCCAGGAGCAGGTATTCTCCACGTGTTCGAATTCGGTAGATCTTCTGAAAATTATTGAAACAACGTTACAGTAAATTTATGTGTCAATTTCCCACGACCAAGGATGCCTCCATCGTTTCTTCAAATTATAATGCAAGAGTTTTCATTTCATTTCGACTCGAAGTTCTCCGTTATTCCCAATGGCTATAATATCATTTACAAATTTACTATCAACGTTTATTCTTTGTAAAAATGCAAATTTGAAACGTTGTCTATGACTACCACATGCGAGACTCCATTCGATTTCCCTGTAATCTCTACTATTGTAACGAACTTTTACGAATTTCTACGAATTTGCAGAATAGTGGGTTCGGCTCCGCGAAAAACAAAAGGTATTTTTCGCAAGGAGAAACGCAAGAGGAAGCACCGTTGGCAGGAAGACGACTCTGTCTGGTCCCGATCGTTATCCTTTGCACTGTATCTACCTAGAGATTGGCCGGACAAGCTAAGGGAGGACAAGAAATTGCGCGGATGAGGTAACTCGAATGCCAGGAGGAACACCTTTTGCAAGTGAATCTATAGAGCGTCGTCGCTTGCCCGCATGAGCGATTCGCTCTGCACTTGTCTCGCGGTTCTGCGGTCGGGGCATTATGTCCCGGCTAGGATAATTGCGGGCATCGGCTCATCTTCTTTCTCTTCCTGCCGAGAGGACGCCGGTACCGAGCCGTTGTATAGGTCAGATAACGATTGTCCGCTCGACCGAAAGTCGGCACCTTTCATCTTAACCGAGAGAAGCTCGCGTGGATCTGTGTCGCCTACGCGGGAACTTGTCGCGTTTTAGACGCACCCTCTTCTACCCAGGCTACCTTTCCCCGTGGGAAACCAGAAAAATGGGACACGTTCGCGTTATATGCGCATACAAATGTACATAGCGTTGATCGAAATCTATTCGCGACTGTATTCGTACGATTTCGATATACCGCATCCAAAATTATAGGATGTTGCATATTTTTTTAATATAACGAAATATACAGTACTCTAAAACGATCGAAGGCACAAAAAATAGTCAAGCAAAATTAAATTCATTTTTGGGCATTTTTTTGAATGGAACTTTATAACTTTGATTTCAATATTCCATGCGGTTTTTAAAAGCATTACGTACTTTATGCCCAAAACTTAATAATTCAAAATTTATGCCACTTTGAAGTTTACTAAACTATTGTAATGTATTTTACTTTTCTTTCAAATGGTCTTCCATCGCAGTCTGAACATTTTTCATTCTTTCCCTTATGTTATTTAAAAAATCGAAATTTGTTTTTTATCTCTTTTCAATGCTTGGGGGTTTAAGAATGTTCCTCAAAAATATCAAAGTAAAATTTGCAAAAATGACAAAGTTACAGAGGATTTAGTAGATGAAAAGCATGTAAATGCCCAAAACTTAATAATTCAAGAGTTATGCCACTTTGAAGTTTACTAAACTATTGTAATGTATTTTACTTTTCTTTCAAATGGTCTTCCATCGCAGTCTGAACATTTTTTATTCTTTCCCTTATTTTATTTAAAAAATCGAAATTTTTTTTTATCTCTTTTCAATGCTTGGGGGTTTAAGAATGTTCCTCAAAAATATCAAAGTAAAATTTGCAAAAATGACAAAGTTACAGAGGATTTAGTAGATGAAAAGCATGTAAATGCCCAAAACTTAATAATTCAAGAGTTATGCCACTTTGAAGTTTACTAAATTATTGTAATGTATTTTACTTTTCTTTCAAATGGTCTTCCATCGCAGTCTGAACATTTTTCATTCTTTCCCTTATGTTATTTAAAAAATCGAAATTTGTTTTTTATCTCTTTTCAATGCTTGGGGGTTTAAGAATGTTCCTCAAAAATATCAAAGTAAAATTTGCAAAAATGACAAAGTTACAGAGGATTTAGTAGATGAAAAGCATGTAAATGCCCAAAACTTAATAATTCAAGAGTTATGCCACTTTGAAGTTTACTAAACTATTGTAATGTATTTTACTTTTCTTTCAAATGGTCTTCCATCGCAGTCTAAACATTTTTTATTCTTTCCCTTATTTTATTTAAAAAATCGAAATTTTTTTTTATCTCTTTTCAATGCTTGGGGGTTTAAGAATGTTCCTAAAAAATATCAAAGTAAAATTTGCAAAAATGACAAAGTTACAGAGGATTTAGTAGATGAAAAGCATGTAAATGCCCAAAACTTAATAATTCAAGAGTTATGCCACTTTGAAGTTTACTAAACTATTGTAATGTATTTTACTTTTCTTTCAAATGGTCTTCCATCGCAGTCTAAACATTTTTTATTCTTTCCCTTATTTTATTTAAAAAATCGAAATTTTTTTTTATCTCTTTTCAATGCTTGGGGGTTTAAGAATGTTCCTCAAAAATATCAAAGTAAAATTTGCAAAAATGACAAAGTTACAGAGGATTTAGTAGATGAAAAGCATGTAAATGCCCAAAACTTAATAATTCAAGAGTTATGCCACTTTGAAGTTTACTAAACTATTGTAATGTATTTTACTTTTCTTTCAAATGGTCTTCCATCGCAGTCTGAACATTTTTCATTCTTTCCCTTATGTTATTTAAAAAATCGAAATTTGTTTTTTATCTCTTTTCAATGCTTGGGGGTTTAAGAATGTTCCTAAAAAATATCAAAGTAAAATTTGCAAAAATGACAAAGTTACAGAGGATTTAGTAGATGAAAAGCATGTAAATGCCCAAAACTTAATAATTCAAGAGTTATGCCACTTTGAAGTTTACTAAATTATTGTAATGTATTTTACTTTTCTTTCAAATGGTCTTCCATCGCAGTCTGAACATTTTTCATTCTTTCCCTTATGTTATTTAAAAAATCGAAATTTGTTTTTTATCTCTTTTCAATGCTTGGGGGATTAAGAATGCTCCCCAAAAATATCGAAGTAAAATTTGCAAAAATGACAGTGTTACAGAAGATTTAGTAGATGAAGAGCATGTAATATACGTAACGCTTGAGACTAACTACTCTTTACTTCGGGGCATTCATTTGAAACTCATTATTCCTACTGTGGTAAGGGTTTTATATGAATGGGAAGTGTTTTGGTCGAGATAGCTACGTGAATCAAGACTATTTAGTCTAGAGCGATAATTGATGTGAATGAATGTCGATGAATGAATGTCCAACTGGCAACTTATTTAGCCGTAATCCAATTTAACGATGGCTATTCAGGATTATTACAAATAATGAAGGTCGATATCGACACAAACAGGCCACGCTTCGCCTTTCCGCTGCTGAGCGCAAAACGCAAAACACAAAACAGCGACGCATGACGTTCGATTAAAGGAAAAAAGAGATATAAATGAAGAAGATGACGATAATCTTTTTACAGAGGATAACTTTTAGGGTCCTGAAATGGATGTCCTTTATAGTTTAAAAACTCCAACATTATTTCGTAGATAATTTGGTGCAAAACTGTAAACGTGTTTTTCTCAAAACTACATTTTTCAAACGGAGCAGCTCAATAACTGAGTCAATTTTCATCCGATTTACTTAAAATTTTGTACGGTGGTTCCTAATACTATCCTCTTCAGTCGCGCGTACGGAATTTTCGATCGAATAATTAGTTTCGACATGGTGTTAAAAGAAATGTTGATTTTGCGACAGTGTTTTGAGATTTTTCCTTTAAAGTTCCACCATTTAATAATAAATAATTATTTTTAAACATCCGTACGTACGATTGAAGCTATCGTCTTATAGTTTAAGAAAATTGCATGATATCTTGTTTCACAACTTGCAGTGATAAATTATACGTCCATCTATTATACTATTAAAAACTCTATTATTGTTACGTTAAAACTATTCGAAATAAATACTTCTACAATAATAAATAGAACGTCAAAAAATGTGTCTGTTGACTCATCCTTAGAAAATTAATCCCCATTGAATAACGTATTTCCAACCCTCTGTTAAAATTTGTTTTTTTGCGAAAATGTCTAATAGTTCTACAAGTTTGGTCACTTATTGTCTAGTTCAAAATTAATTGATTCACGAACGTAGAAATATTCAACAAATAATATAAAACATAACTCATGAACCAGACAGCTAAGCGAACAATACTTAAAATAAATAAACATTGAACACCAACCTGGTCTGTGCCTGCGAAGTGTGATTTGCTGCTCGCGGAAGAGCATCTGTTGATGCAATTGCAGTTGCATTTCCATGGGCATGATCGAATTCATCTTCCGAACGATGCACCGTTCTAATATTGTTTCTGCCACTTTGTCACGTAACCTCACCGCAAACGTAAATAGAAAAGTTCAGGGAACAGCCGTGTCATCCGACGTCTACCGCGTTACAGTCCAGTAACGACTGACGATGCGTTTCGGAGTTGCAAGTAGAAGCGGCTCCGTTACTGCGATCCATCACTGTAACTCGGAGGCCGCTTCCGCTATTGGCTGCCGCTTTCTCCCCACCGCGCTGCCGCCGCGCCCACGCCGACCCGATTGGTCGATGCAATTCCACGCTGCCCGGCAAGAGTTGCCACGAAATGCACCTCAAGATACGTACGATAGCGATCGGGAGAGAAAAAAATGAGTAAAGCGAAGAAAGATTAAGAGGCCTTAGCTCTTCTTTCCATAAGACATAATTACTCGTCGTTCGAATTCCAAACTTGGTATTTTCCATCATTCAAGACGATTTTAAACGTCGTCTCATAGAAACAAGTAATGCCTGTTAGAATAATCGATAACGCAGCTAACTGTAAATCCCCTTAACAGTGTAAACTAACAGCACCTGACGTCCAATTACATACGTAATTTGGTACGTCCGCATAGCGAGTCACTGTCTAGTCCCGAAACCGGAGCTTGTAGTTTCAATTTTTCTGTGTTAATAAAGATATAAGTAAATATAAAATGTACTCGGTTCTGTCCAATAATCCTTAACAATGTCAATTATTATACCAAAAAAAATGTCTTCGTCATGTTACATTGGTAAATACGTATTGCTATACAAACAATAAAAATTATTTAAAAAATGTTAATTATTGTCCAGAAGGAAAGTGACGTTTCAAAGCGTTTCTAATATAAAGCTATTAGAAAGCTTCCGGGCGTATCGCGAATCTGACTTCGTCGGTCGTTTGAGGCTGACCTAATCCTGTCCGCGGAAAAGAAAGCTCCTTTCGAAACGTTCGTTGAACGTTCTCGCGAAGACGTAATCGCGTGTCGGGATCCTACGCTAATCGCAGTCTGCTCGGATTTATTCGTCGGCGTATTTGACGCATGTCTCGGCCACACGATCGCATTAAGAAACGAAGCGCGTAGCGTTAGGTACAAGAGTGGAGAATCGTCACCATAAATTACAAAATCCGGCGAGCAGACGGCCGTTAATAGTTTGTTCTCGAGTCGAGACGAGACGAGGCGAGAAGATAAAATCAAGAATCCTCGTCCGCGGTGCGTCGGCGGTCAAAGAGGAACGACGGACCGGAGCGGAATGGAGCTGAACGGAGCGCCGCGAGATACAAATCTACGCTTTTCTCGCTCCCTTATTCCCTTTTTCTCGTACACCCACCGCTCCTGTCCTCGCCTCTTCGTCTTCCTCCTCACCCTCTTCTTTTTTCCAACGTAGAAACCGTCCTCCCCGCCCGCCTGCGAACGCCGGTCATCGCACCATTGTAGTCGGTTTCGGATTGCGGATTAACTGTAAGCGATACCCATAACAAAAGGGCGCGCGCTTTGCCCGACAGTTCCTGCTACCTGTATTTCTCTGCTTTATGGCGGCATTGTAATGCCTCTCGATCGTGTTATCGTAACCGCTCCTCGACATCATCGGTTGAATTTTTTAACCAGCCGGCCATCTTATCGATCGATCGCGGTTTCATTTTGTCGAACGATTTCCCCTATTTCCCGCGTGATTTACGCGTTTGTCGCCGCGCGAACACGATGTATTGTAGCGCTGCGTAGAAGTATCCGGGCCAGTTGGTTTTCTTCCGAAAGCAAAATCTAAAACAATTTTTGTTGCTGTATTAGGTGTACAAATAGGCAATCCAATTTTTGTTAAACTGCCCCTACTCTGTTAAGTAGATATAAATGCATATTCTTCACAATAGGATAAAAACGCTTGACACCTAATTAGACACTTAGGATTAGAATGGAAAGAAAGATAGTCTTAACAGTCTGTCTAATCGCCGACGGCCAATGGTCGAATGCCACGGGAGGAAAAATTCTTTGAGACCCTCCACGATGAAATTTGTAACCGATCTGCCAGCAGTCCTAAAGGATTATTACTCAAAAGGAATTATAGTATTTTTCACGATAATAAATACCATCGTTATACCTACCTAATTCCTCGAAAGCTGAGTATTGGTTAAGATCGAATTAATTTTACGAGACCCCATTCATCGTATATAATAATAATAAAATTATCCTTCTAATGCAGATCATAGCATATACCATTAACGTAAATTTTCAAGTGTCAATATAAAAACAAAAATGTGGACAATAAAGTTCATTTATCAGAAAAGATATTATAGTTGAGTCTCATTAATGGTTCTTTCTTCGTTGTCCTGAAAGGAAGACAACTTCTATATTTTAATTGAAGAAATGGGAAATTCAGGGGCTACAAAAGAATAATTGTAACCCCTAAATTTATTTTCTTTAACCGCGTACTTCACAGTGACGCGATACTTTTCGAGGAAAAAAATTAAGTTTTTGCGTTTATCTTTCCAACGGAAAGGAAATGGAAAAACTTGTGTGCGTTGCTTGGTTTACGAGAAAACACTTCGTCGGTAGGTAAACTGTAGATTTTACCAGATTGAGACTCTGTCCCTTTTTGAAAACAGCTGTGTCTCTTTACGAAAGTGTTCTCTGGCTTCCTTTATTAAGAATCTTTACCCTTTAGCACAAATGTACTAAACGTTTCAACGATACATCCTAGAAATTGTATTTCATACATATCAATTATATTTATTAATTAGAATGAATTACCTAATTCTATAAAATGACTCCGTTGCTAAATCTTAGCGGAATAACAATTCTTTATCCATAAATTTCGAGGGTGAAAATCTTCTCTTTTCTTAGGGGACGTTTTCTAAAAAATTTGGAAACACTGGTTTAATATCTGCAAATGATTTTAATGCAAAACGATGAAAAACGTGCGTAATTCTTCAGCGGTTTAAACTGGAAGCTTTCGACGATGGAAAGTGACACGATTATAGGGGAAACTGGATAAGGAGAAGCCGACAAATAGATTTTACGGCTCGCTTCCTGTCCGTCTCTCGCGACAGTTATGCGCCCCATAATAAAGCGATGGTTACTTTCCAAGGCTGCTTGAATTACGAAATAAATAAGTAAAATTATGATTCACATTCACCCCTGACGGCATGGCATTTATTTCTCTGTGTACAATTAATTTTCACTGTCGACAGCGATCCAGAACATTTGTCACGTCAGACTACTTTTAAAAATACTTGAAAAATTTAAGGTACTTTTGCGAAAGAGAATTCACAACACGAGTCGAAACGTTGGAAAAAGAAAATATGGACGCTCACGTGACTCTCCCCTCTGTAACCTGAATCGTAACTTTGTTAATTGTTGCATTAGAACGAAACGTGAACAACAAAACTGGAACAAAAGGAGTCCCGAGCTTTCCGAGAACATCCTACTTTTCTGCATCGAAATAATTGTGATTATTTTCTTAAACGACAGACTTTAGGAGGACTTCTTAGCATCGCGTTGAAGTGTCCTCTGTGTACGATTTCCTACTGCAGAAGCCTTTAGAAGAAGGGATAAACAGAAGGAAGGATAAGTAGACTTTCTCTCTTGCGGTGCTAAAGGACGAAAACGAAGACGTTTACGTTCCAAGTGGCCACTTTACAGCAAATGTTTGTACATTCGAACGGAAGTTCTGTTCGATCATTCAATGGCTACTTATTTATCCGCTGGGACCAGAAGTGTAACAAAAAAGATTCGGGTCAATAGCGTTCTAACAAAAATTTTGGTCGCATTATGTCAATATACCGCAACTTTATCTCGAAAGAATCCTGGTCCCGCGAACATGTGTTTCGCAAGAACCTTGAATCACCGAATCTGAAATCGCTACACATTAAATAAACCGTCAGATAAGTTGTGACTGTCCGCACAAGTGGTTAGAGGGTATTGTTATTTCAGGACAGATGAGAATAAACATGTTCGAGACACGTATTTTCTGTTTCTAGACACACGGCGAGATAACATGTCACCCTGCAAACGTTCCACGCGTACGCAACGAAACATCTGTAGTTCTGTCCAAATTGCAGTTGACGGCCCTATATCACGATTTTCGTACATTAAATTTACCTTTTAAACTTCTACGATATGACTTCTGATGTTGGAACATACAGTGGCGGCCAGCTACTTAACCCTTTGCACTCCAAATTATATTCAAAGTTTGTTACCAGCGGCTCCCAATGCTTTTAAGTGTTTTATTTGAAATTTACCTGTTAAAATAAGTGTTTTATTTACACTGTTGTTGTATTTTGTAATTTCCAAGTGTATATCTGTTTGGTTTGGACTTGAAAAAATGTCGAATGGGACTTGACGAAGGAGCTCCTGAGATAAAAATTGATGTCGAGTCACACTTGACATAGGAGTGCAAAGGATTAAGACCGCTGGGTAGTTAAGGAAATAAATAGTGCTAATATTTTATTCATTGTATTTTTCGTATACTAAACTCATGTGAAATATATTTTGAAGTATGTTATACCATAATATCGCAATAATTTTATTTATAATACTATCAGCTACAAATATTTTTAACATTTTCTCAGATTAGGTCGTTATGACAGCGAACAACTACTTAAGACCAAATCAGACTAATACTATAAATACAGGTAAAATTAATGAAACTCGTTAATTGCGGAAAAATAAAACTTAGCAAATACATAGTTGGTAACGCGTTGCACTCCCTTTTTGTCGTATCACTTCTTCACAACGTCTTACCATAGACTCAATTAAACGGTGACAATGCTCGACTGGAATATTATTCCACCCTTCTTGAATAAAAGCGTACAATTCATTTAAATGTTTGGGCTTTTTATATTTTACATGTTTCTCCACATCAATCCATAGCATCTGAATAGGATTGAGGTCTGGAGATTGAGAGGGGCATGGTAAAATGTTTACATTTTGCTGACATAAAAATTGTTTAACCCTACGAGCTGTGTGTTTCGGTTCATTGTCAGCTAATCCAGTTATCTGGCATTTGA